CAAGTTGCGCACTTCCTTGCCTAAATTATTACTTTTTTTGCAGCTTCCACTTCCTCAACTTGGTCTAACCTGGTCTCGTGTCTCACATATCCGCGTACATATACGAGCGCCCCTTCTATCTTCCCTTCAACAACGAATGTATATCTTCGTCTACTTGTGCCGCCATAGTCCATTAGTTCTTCTCCCCTTTTCTCATACTCGTCTGCTCACGACTTGCAACTCTTGCCAGAAACTCATTCCTCCATCGTGCTATAGCTTCCCTCTCCTCTTTATAGAGAGCCGCTAGTTCCTTCGTCCTCTCTTCCACCCTCAGCAAGTTGTCCTCTTCTGTTGTTAACCACCTGGCCCGATACCCTCTACTAGTCCTTTGACTACAACTATAACCGAATCTAGTACTTCACTCTTCACTCTCCCCACATCCTCATTTTTCATATTAACTTTATCCTCATGCTCAGATCGTCGCCTGACAGTACTTATTCACTTAACACCCGAAAACCTCTCTAATATGATTGCATGTTTCCTCACACACCGAACAAACCTCTCTAAGTATCTCTACCTCAGGTGTCACCTATGTGTCAAGACTTGCGCACATGTCCACTGTCTTCCTCAAGATGAATAAAGCTCCTATAGCTCTTGTACGATTCATGTACAATATTACATACTTGACGTCTCCTAGTATTGCAAACGTCTCTCTCAACCTCCTCTTTGGCTCGTCAAGGGTTTCTCTCTACGAAGTTCTCCTATGGAGTAGTCCTTGAATCAGTACATCTGACGTACATACAATCATTTTGATCTCGTCAATGGTGTTTCTAACAACACACATACAGAGATATCTCAGGATTCTCTCAACTATGCTTGTCTCCTCCGTGGTTTGTAGTAATATTGCAAAATCGGTCGTCACTGTAACATAAAGAGTCAATCCTAGAGGCCTAGCTCAAACACTACTCTCTACGAATTCTTCGTCTGACATCCTGCCTAGATGTCATAGCCACCGAGTCAGAGACAAAACGTTGTAGCTTCTCTCGTGCGTCTCCAAGAATACGCAACAAATCCCTCTCCAACGAGATACAATCATCCAAAGTTATCTCCTCCCGGTGCTATGCTATATTGGTCAAGTGTATAACTCTAGTGACAATTTCCTTAACCCTCCGTAGCTGTCTATGGAGCTGATCACTCAAGCTTCCCATATCTTTATCATGACCTTCTCTCCTCTGACACTTACTTTGGGCAATACTTGCAGTATGGTTCGCCTCGCCTCTACTACAGTCTTGTCGTGAAATAACTCTCCTCTCATAATCCCTCTACTCCATACCATCACTTAGTAAAATACCTACCTCTGGAACGTGATGGCACTAACCACCTCAGGTCTTTGTTCCTCTATGATTGCCTCAGGTAATTGTATGGACTCTGCCTCCGTAAGACCATCCTCAGTCTTAACCCTAAGCGGAACTGTGACCGTTGTCCACTCGTTCAAGCTGCCTATGTACAGTTCTGCAAGGCGGTATGTGGCTCGACATTCTTGTTAGTGCGAATGCAGAGTTATGACCCTCGTCAACAGTTCGCTTCGCCAGAAGTGATCTCTCATTTAAAGATCACTTCTTTTGAATAGCTCCTGCAATCCATCGAACTCTGAGAGTCCATCCAAATCCTCCTTGAATAAGTGACTAAGGCAATCGAGTCTCGTATACATGATCTCTATCTGTCTTCGGTAGTAATTCACTAAGTTACTAGGTGTAACAGAGTCGTACTAACAAGTGGTGTCTACGGTGTCTTCTACAACGTCCTCCTTGAACAGTCCCCACTGCACACACAAGGCAAAATATGTGTCTAGAAACCCAGACTCTAGTCCACCTCTTAGTGCCTCGAAGGTCCACTCAGCAGCTCTCGACAAGCGTCCTACCCCTCCACAAAGTTTGTCTATCACAAAGTCTGGTAGAGCCCATCTCTTATTTTCCGTCGGATAAAATATCTTAGTAGAAGGTCCGATCACAACTGTCGAAGTCGAACGACCAGCCACCTTATGAACCCATCTGTGATCCAATATAGCCCGCGCTAAGGACTCCAATCCCCATAGTCTCCTGCTAGCGCTTATTAACGACATACCAATGTAGCAATCGAGGGTATTTCCTAATATGAGGTGACCTACAAGCTCGATCTGACGAAAACCCTCTATATCCTGACTCTCTATGTACGCAGTCAAGAGGCATATGCCAGGAGCTGTGTAGCATCATATTTGGGTTCGGTGACCGAACCCGAACGTTCTGCACCGAACATGAACGAGCGCCAAAACCCTTCGAACACGAACATAAAAATATTTATAAAAACAAACAAACTTCTTAGAAAAAATCCGCAAAATATATATATTATGTAAAATAATAATACGAACAACTTTTGCCTTGGAGGTATGCTCAAATTCGTAACCAAACTCGAGTTAAAAATCAAAAACCTTAAGAAAAGTTTTTTTTTTTTTTTTTAATATGTTTGACCGAACACGTTCGGGAGGCGTTCGGCCGAACACCCGAACATGTTCGGACGTTTGGAAAAGCTCCGAACATGTTCGGTGTGCTACACAGGTCAGGGGCTATCCAGATCCCACTGTGGTCTAGTGATCTCTTGTAATCCTGATCTAGGTGTATAGGAGTAGATATATAGTACACTAGCATCGTCTCTCTAGGACCCAACAGTGGTCTAGCCTTGTATACTCCGGACTCTCTAGTCAAAAGATAAGTCCACCACACGCTGGACTCATCGCGCATTTTCGCTCCATATGTATCTCAGGTCCACCACATGCAGGTCCGAAAGCGTATGCCAAGTCTAGGCCGCCTAATATCCTCCGCATCCGTCTTATCCACATCTCCATCGTCAGCCCGCTCGCCTCCCCACGGGATATACTCTTGTGCCTCTGCCTGAGGAAGACGGCCCCAACCGTCCTGGTCCGGCTCTGCCTAAGCTATATACTCAATATTGTGTCAATCCTTCAACATAAAAATTATGGTAAATTTTCTGACAGGATAATCACATGTGGACACCATATTTCAACCGTTGGAACTGTGTTTATAAACTGTTTGGCGGGGGGGGTTCATGTGTTCCACCAGAAGTGAAGGAAACCAACACTGACCAAACATTGGGAAAACTGAAACTGGTGTGTCCATTTGTTGGTCCATTTGTTGAAAGGATGTTGGTCCATCTGTTGACCATTTGTTGACAACTTGTTGAAAACTTGTTGAAGATTTGTAGAGAACTTGTTGAAACGTGTTGATAACGTGTTGAAACGTGTTGATAACGTGTTGAAACGTATTGAAAACTTGTTGAAACGTGTTGAAAACTTGTTGAAACGTGTTGAAAACGTGTTAACCTTTCGTAGAACGTTACGTTCTGTGTTGGGGGAAAAAATCAAAATTTTTGGCTCATGTCGTCGGTTTTCGCGGTTTCTTCCCGTCCTTTTCTCCTGTTGCACGATACGCTATGGTCTTTCGCAAATGTCAATCGTTGAGTCTTTCAGTACTCCTGACATGCAACGACCACAATGACTGAAGATAAAGAGAGAGTGCCCCAGATAGATAGATAGATAGATAGATAGATAGATAGAGAGAGAGAGAGAGAGAGAGAGAGAGAGAGAGAGAGAGAGAGAGAGAGAGAGAGAGAGAG